AATTCTAATATAAATATATTTAATATATACTAAAATTTAAATCATTAAATAGACACATCAATTATGCATCCTATATAAGATTGAGAATAATATCGGTGAAGCTTGCAAAGAATATTCGGAATGTATACTCAAGTAAAATTAAAAAAATTATTAAAATTTGAGATTTATTTATTTTTTTAAAATATTATTATATATATTTATTGTATATTATTTTAATAAGAATTGATATAATTGTAAAATATTATAATTTTCTAATCACATAATTAGGTAAATATACTTGTATCTTATAAATATGTTATACATATTCTATTTCATATCAAATAATAAATATATTTTAGTTTATATATTTTAAGTTAGTTTTAGAACGGATACTTTAGATCTTGAAATTTTTGAAACTTCCAAATATAATAAAGAAAGTTTGATATGTTAGAACTAAATTAGTTCTTTCTATTATTCAAATTCAAGAAATTTTCCATATTTATTTAAAAACATGTCGCAATGATAAAAAGATGACACAAATGTCAAAGTTGACAAAATAGGGTTCTTATTATTAAACAAAATGAAAATGAATTTTTACTAATAAGATTATTAATATTTTGAATGATATATAAATTATTGATATTATACCTATAAGAATAAATCACATAAATAATATTTTTTAAAATACTTAAATAGAATATTTTTAAGTTTATTTACACAATTAAACGTTATTACAAAGAAAAAAATTCTCTTGACATAATACAGTAATTTTTCTCTCTTTACTAGTTTATTTTCTTATTTTTCTCTCTCTTTATTTACTTCTTCTTATTATATTTTATCTGTTTTCATTCATCTAGTATTTGTTTTCTTTATTCTCTTCCCCAGTTTTGTTCTTTTCTCACCCTATCTTATTCTTCAATTAAAACTTTTAAATTAATTTGATAAGGTGAATATTTTATTACTTTTAAAAAATAAAAATATTTGAATGATTCAGAAATACTATAATTTAATATATTATATTTTAAAAAAATATTATATGATAAATTTGAGATATTACAAATATTATTGTTATGTTATAACTTTTACGAAAAAAATATTTATTTTAAAGTAGTTTTTTTAACAAATATTTTTTAAAAATTACCTAATAACTAGATTAAATTATTAAATAAAAAATACATTTAACTCATACATATTTGATATTTTTTTTATTAGATGAGTAATAATTTATTATGAAAATAACTTTAAATTAATTATTTCCATCATCGTAAATAAAATTATTGATTGTCATAAAAAAATTATTTATTATCATCATAATTTTAAATAATTAGTTTATTTTTTTGAAATTTCAATATTAATTTTAAAATATTTTTTTAAAATATTTTTATTAAAAGTAGTTTAATTAAAGGACCAGGAAGGAGATGAGAGAGAAAAACAAGAGAAGTGAAATAGAAAAGAGAAAATAAAGAGTGAATAAGAAAAGAGAAAAATAAAATTATTTTAAGAGGAGAAGAAAAAGAATACGTGAATCTATAGGAGTAAATAAATTAATAGAGATTTTATTTGAGTAATTCTTCTCTTTTAAAATATATTATTTATAGGATTGATTCATAGCTACACATCATGTGACATTTAATCTTAAAAAGTCAAACAAAATTAAACCATCTACACACAAATATGGTTTTATTACAAAGGAAAAACAAATATGGTTTTATTACAAAGGAAAAACAATCCAAGTTATTCAAGAAGATGTTTAAATATTACTAGTATGTTAAATCTTGATTTTGTCTTAATTATTATTTTTTAAAATTATAATCTTTTATCTATTTTTTAAATAACAATTAATTTATCTTATATAATAATTTTTTGATCTAACTCTTCCGTTATTAGAGAGGTCAAAACAAAACCTAGATATGTAAAAAAAAAAAATAGCTGATGAGTCACGACATACTTTAACTTTTGATAAGCTGTAAGAGAGAAAAATAAAAGGTCTGAAATCATATTATGACATCAAAGTCGTGGTCATGCCTCATTTAGGTATTTAAAAAAATTATTTCCTACTTTGTTTAAAAAAATATTATATTTCTAGTTTTAATTGGGATGTTTATGAACTAGCATACAGTTATATGAGACCATTTCCATTAATTTTAAACTAAAGTCTTCAACCTTTTATTTTCATCTTTTTTATGATGATACATTCTTACATGTGGAATCCATCTACAATTTAAACTTTCGGTGAGTCTCATTGATTTGTTATTATTAGTGATGATGGTACAAGAATGACTTGATTATACTTAATGAAGTTCAAAATTGAAATAAGTACATTATTTAAAATTTTTCATAAAATGGTAAAAACTCAATATAACGTTAAAATTCTAATTTTACATAGTGATAATGGTGACGAATATAAAGATTGTAAACTCTAACAATATTATAAGTTAATAGAATTATTAATTAAACTACTTGTCCTAACACACATGAAAAAAATAGGATTGTTGGAACAAAAAAATGATATTTGTTAGAAATTGTTCGTACTTAATTGATTAAGACATACATGTCATTGTGTTATTGAGGAAAATATATTATTTTAGCAATATTTTTAATAAATTGGATTCCCTCAAGTTCTATTGATTTTAAGACACCTTTTAAAACTCTTATGTATTTAGATGTGTTGCATTTATTCATCTTAATAAGCATCAACACAACAATTTGGTTCCACAAGTCATTCAGTGTGTTTTTGTTCGATATTTTATATATGTATGTATATATATATATATATATATATATATATATATATATATATATATATATATATATATATATATATATATATATATATATATATAAAGGATATAGATATTATCATCTTACTACTTATCATAAAGTATATAATAACGGATATGATTTTTCAAGAAGATACAATGTATTTTTCCTATTGGTCTAATTTCCAGAGAGGGAACCAACAAAAAATTAAGGAAATTTAAACTTTAAAGTATAAGACTCAAACTCGATCTAAGTGGTAAAACTTCATATTTTCACATTTAGGAGATGAAGAAGAAACTAATATTAAAGGATTATCACAAGAATCTTGTACTAAATGACATTGAAACTTCACATGAATTTCTTACTAAAAATAATTTAAAGTCTCATAACCTCATATTGGAGATAGTATATTGAAGTCTCATATGAACCTCTTAGTGAAGATAAAGTTGAAATGCCACATAGACCTCTATATGAAGATAATATTGAAGTCCCACAAGAACATTTTAATAAGAATATTACAAATCATTTATTGGCTAGAAAACAATTATCAATTATTTTACTAGAAGTATTCCTAAACTTATTTATGAAACTCACTAGTAAAATTAAATATCCTATGAGTCATTATGTATCTAAGCATAGACTATTAAAAACAAATAAAATATTTATAAATAAGTTATCTATTATAGTTATCCTTAACAAATTATAAGAAGCTTTAGCCTATCCAAAATAGAAGACCACTATGAACGAGTACATGAACTCACTTCAAAATAATGATACTTGGATCATAGTTTATTGTCCATTACGAAAGAAACTAGTCTGATGTTGGTGGATTTACACTACTAATACAAAGTAAATGGTATAATAGAAATATATAAAGCAAAACTAGTGACAAAAGAATATATTCAAACATATGGGGTTGATTATACAAAAATATTTGCTCTTATAGCAAAAATTAGCACTATTCGAGTATTATTGCCTCTGGCAGAAAGTTTGGATTGATTATTAAAGCAATTTGATGTACAAAATAAATTTTTATATGGAGAATTAACTAAAGACGTATGCATTAAACTCTCACAAGGTTGAATGGTATCCAAAAAACATAAAAAAGGTTTGCTAATTAAAAAAATTTATTTGAATAAGTTGAAACAATCTTCATAAACATGGTTTAGAAGGTTTACAAAATTTATAATAATATTTGAATATCATTAGCATAATTCAGATCATACTTTATTTTTTTTAAAACAAGAAGATAAGATAATTGCACTTATTGTATATGTAGATGATATGATTGTTACAGAAAATGATAAGGGAAAATAACACATTACAAGAGTATTTATCAAAAGAGTTTAAAATGAAGGATCTTGATCCTTTAAAATATTTTCTCAGAATTAAAGTATCTAGATCTATGAAAGAAAATGTGTTCTCAAAGAAAATATGTCCTAGACTTATTATAAGAAACATGTATGTTAGCTTGCCAACCACTAAATACATCAATGAAAGAAGGTTTAAAGTTATCTACTACATCATATCAAGTCTTAGTTGATAAATAAAGACACCAAAGATTAATGTACTTAACACTCAAAAGACCATATCTTATCTATGCATTAAGTGTTATCAGTCAATTTATGCATAATCTTGGAGAGTAACATGTAAATGTTATTATACACATTTTAAAATATTGAAAATCAGCACCTAAAAAATTATTATAAATATTTACAAAAAATACAAATTATCATTAAATAAATGTATATACTAATACTAATTTTGTTAGATCATTAGAAGATTGACAATCAAAAGACTACTTTACATTGTTGGTGGTAATCTTGTCATATGGAGAAGAAAAAAACAAAACACATTCTCTCGTTCAAGTGTAGAAATTGAGTTTAGAGAGTTAATATTTGAGATTTGTGAAGGTTTATAACTAAGATTCTTTTAGAATATCTTATATATTCATTCACACAACGTATTAAAGTGTATCATAAGAACAAATAATATAACAAGATTGAATAAACACATTGAAGTTGATAAATTTTTTATCAAAAAAAGTTAGAAGAAAAACATTATATAATTCCCCATGATTGTTCAAAAGACCAATCAGCTAATTAATATCTTAACAAACATCATCTCAAATAAAATACATATTTTAGTTCCTCCCTTTCATTTCTTGCCATAATAATACATAATACATATTACATATAATTCCTAATTTGGCTTCTTGGTTCTTGCTGGTTGCAAATTAATGAGAATGGATGTTTTCCCCTTCAATGTGATTCTGCACACTGAAAATGAGACCAGTATTCCTTGACAAGCTGACCAAACAATGATTTTTCATTCTTCATCAGGTTCATTGTCTCATCATACTCTACCAATTTTCCTACAAAAGAAATCACATGTTAAAAACTTTTATTTACCCTCCACTTTTGTTCAAGTTAATTAGTGACTTATTCTGATAAAGTGTTTGTTCAATATTCAACTTACCATCACTGATGGCAAGAACCATAGTACAATCCATCACCGTTGGTATCCTGTGGGCTACAGTGATTACTGTACAATTTCCAAACTCAGTCCTAATGCTTTTCTGTAGAATCAAATCGGTTGCATTATCAATTGATGCAGTAGCTTCATCCAAGACCAATATCTTACTTCTCCTCAAAAGAGCACGCCCCAAACAGAATAACTGCCTTTGTCCAATGCTCCAGTTGGATCCGTCTTCAACAACTGAGTAACAAGTTTTTAGGCTAATCACTACTGACAAGGAAAGAAGTGCTTGCACAAAATTTGCAACAATGAAACTTCAAACATGGAAAGTGTACCTGACGAGTCTAAGCCACCTTCTTTATCCTGGACTGCCTCTTGCAATTGACATTTACCGAGAACCTTCACATGGAAGCTATAATTGTTGGAAATATTACTTTATTATCTTTTATTTAAATTAGGTATTAAGAGATTTTATTATTTTTTAAGAGAGAAGGTAAAAAGACATTAGGTTATTATTCTGATTTAGGCTGTTATGATTGAGATATTATGAATATTTAATATTTTGTAATATTTTTACTCTATATATACATAGAGTACATGAATAGAAACACACACATGATATATCAGAAATACATATACACATAACCCTTCAAAAACCCAACAAATTGGTATCTGAGCTTTGGTTTGACACAATGGAAGGAGAAAGAAACTTTTCACAAGTCGCTATTCCAGTTTTTGGTGGCGAAAGTTATGACTTATGGGCGGTGAGAATGCAATCCTATCTTGAAGGATTGGATGTATGGGAAAGTCTGTAGAAGAAGATTATATTGTTGATCCACTACCCGAAAATCCCACTATAGCTCAAATGAAATCTCACAGAGAAAGAAAAATGAGAAAGGCAAAAGCTAAATCATGTCTGTTTCTTTGGTGTTTCACAAATGATCCTCACCAGAATCATGACGCTAAAGTCACCCAAAGAAATTTGGGATTATTTGAAAGATCAATATGAAGGAGATGAGAAAATTCGAGGTATGAAAGTTCTAAACTTGATAAGGGAATTTGAGATACAAAAGATGCAAGAGTCTCGGACAATTAATGAATACTCAAACAAATTGTTAGGTATTGCTAACAAAATAAAATTGTTAGGCAAAGAATTTTCTGATTCTAGAATAGTTGAAAAAATTCAGTAGCGTGCTGAGAGAGATATGAAGCATCAATTGTTTCATTGGAAAACACAAAAGATTTGTCTAATATTACTTTGGCGAAGTGTTACATGCTTTACAAGCACAAGAGCAACGAAGATTGATGAGAGGAGATCATGCTTGCTAGTGAAGGTTCTTTATTATATCATGATGGAGGTTCTGTCCAAGCCAAGAACAACAAAGGTACAAAATCACGAGTATTTTCTGTTTGTCCTTATTGCAAGAAAAATAATCACACACCCGACAAGTGTTGGTGGAGACTCGATGTGAAATGTCACAAATGTGGTCAATTGGGACATATAGAAAAGATATGCAAATCACAACCGGAGGAAGTCGTTCAAGTTATAGAGGATAGAGAAGAAGAGGTACTTCTCCTTGCATCAACATGCTCTACAATCAAAAAATCCACGAGGTTGGCTAATAGACAGGTGGTTGTACAATCCACATGACTCATGATCGAAAATTTTTCAAAGAGCTCAACGAATCACATATTTCTAAAGTGAGAATTGGTAATGGAGAAGAAATGAATGTGAAAGGTACAGGAACAATTGCAGTTAAAAGTCATTCGGGTATCAAATTGATTATTGATGTTTTATATGTTCCTGATATAAATCATAATTTGTTAAGTGTTGCTCAATTATTGGAGAAAAGTTATAAGGTGTCTTTTGAACACAAACTTTGTGTGATTAAAGATACAAATAACTTAGAAATATTCAAAGTTCACATGAAAGAAAAAAGTTTCACTTTAGATTTGATGAAAGAAGAGATGATTACAAATGAAGATATAAAAGAAAAGTCAAAGAAAAAGCATGAAGAAGATTTCTTGAAGGAATTTCATGTTAAGGAGGAAAATAAAGATGTAGATGAAGAAACCGTTTTCAACGTGCATCAAAGAGTCAACAAGTACTACCATGAATTTTGAAAGAAACAAAGGAGATGAAGTTGATAAAGGAAGAAATATGTTGATGAAGAAAGTGAAGAATGAAGATGTGATCTCATACAAGAAAGAAAATAACAAGAAGTATAAACAAAAAAGAAGAAAAAATATATCAAATTCAAATAAATAGATATTAAAGTAAGGAGGAATGTTGGAAATATTACTTTATTATCTTTTATTTAAATTAGGTATTAAGAGATTTTATTATTTTTTAAGAGAGAAGGTAAAAAGACATTAGGTTATTATTCGATTTAGGTCATTATGATTGAGATATTATGAATATTTAATATTTTGTAATATTTTTACTCTATATATACATAGAGTACATGAATAGAAACACACACATGATATATCAGAAATACATATACACATAACCCTTCAAAAACCCAACAATAATCAGTTCACATTTGTAATGAAAGGAAAGATAAAACAAAGTGTAGCAAGTGTTACCTCCCATATTTCTTGATCAGAATGTTGAGATAAAGGGTCCAAATTATATCTAACTGTGCCATTGAAAAGGGTAGGATCCTGAGGTATTATACATAAACGTGACCTCAAATCATGAAGGCCAATAGAAGAGATGTTTATGCCATCAACTATGATTTTTCCACCTGCTGGCTCCACAAGACGAAACAAAGCACTGATAAGAGTTGACTTTCCACTGCCTGTCCTTCCAACAATACCAATCTTGTGCCCTCCTTCAAAAGTGCAAGTGATACCATCGAGTACAAGTGGCTCTTGTGGCCTATATCTTATCTATTTTTGTATAAATCAAAAATTTATGAGGTTGATGTAAACTCTCACATTTTAACAGTATGCTACAAATTCTAAATTAATAAATTAGACAACTACCTGCAGATCATATATTTCTACTTTGCCTGCATCTGGCCAATTCAAAGGAGGGCGCTTTCCTTTTATTACTTCTTCGGCCTCACTTGGTATATGCATATACTGGTTTAGCCTCTCTACAGATATTATTTGATTTGCTAGAGTGCATTGACTTTGAATTGAGTAAACCAAGGAATTGTTTAGTGAAAGGCCATAAGAAAGGGCCATGCCAATAAATCCTGGAAAGAAAGGATATCAAAAACAAGAGCTTGGCTATGAGAGACACTGCTATTATCTAAGGATAAGAGCATACGATTTTATGGTTCATTAGAAGACCTACATTTCAATGGTAACAATAGGATGTCTTACCAGAGTTTAAAGTCCCAATTGGAAACACAACCATGCAAAGCGCCACAGATGCAAGAACAACTGCACAGGCCGTTTCTACTCGAAGGATGAACCACTCATTTGAAGCAAAAGTATGAAAGAAAGGACTAGCATTGGTATCTATTAGATCGAGATTCTTCATAAAAAAACGATCTTCCTCTTCAAAAGCCCTTATAGTAATTGCTCCAGCAACAGTTTCGGCTACATGATTAGCTACAAAGGACTTGGTTGTGCCATTCATTCTCATATATTCTTTTGCAGCGACCAAGTAGTGTCTCTATAAAGTAAAAATACCCTTCTATTTAACATAGTGTCTTTACAACACAGAACCAATGCATTATTTATACTTAAAACATCTTGACATTTGTTCACAACACCAAAAATGAATATTTTAAAGTTTAAGGTCAAAGCAAGTTAAAGAAGATACCAAAAGTTACAAAAATTCTAATTAGAATTTTCCAAATGATCACCAAGAGGATAAAACCTAGAGAGTTGTAGAGTGTCAGTCCCGACCCCGCCCTCTTCTTCAAAAGAATGAGCAATATGTATTTACATACAAGGTTTTATTATCTGAATTTGATTAACATATCAGGCACCATTTCATTGTTGCAATACATACATAGTTCAGCAATAAACGTGCTCATTACCTGCAATCGGATAACAAAATAAACCATTGCTACAGCAACAAACAAGACTTGCCACGTAATGATAGCCAAAACTACGAGATCAGCATAGCAGTTTATAGTAGATCCAACGGTATATGTGAGAACAAATGGGATATCAAGATCCGCAATGCTCAAATCCAATGAGACCTAAACAAATAACAACGGTCAAAATACTCTTGCCTTCATTTCATCATTTGCATGGTAAAAACTTGTTAACATGCTTACCCTGCTAAGTATCCTTCCCAAAGGTGTGGAGTCATAAAAAGACATAGGTGCACGGAATAGGGAATTCACCAACTGAGAAAATAAATATTTTGACGATTGAAGGCCCAAAGCAACTGCAAGAAGACTTCTGCTAACCACGAACACTGTAGAACTAACTCCAATAAGCAAGTAAACAACAATCAATTGCAGTGTGTTGACTTGGGGATTGTCAACATTGGCAGCCATCCATGAGTTTTGCAATATCTGGCAGATCACAAACAGAAGGTGAGATAGAGAGGCCACAAAGGTGTATATGTAACCTTTGTTCTGATTCAGATACTGTAAATAAGGCTTCAACCCTATATCTCCCCTTTCTCTCTCTTCTTGCTTAATTAGTTGATCATCTTTTGATGGTTTAAATTGCTTCTCTACGAAAATTTGACTAATCTCTCTGCCAGAATTTGAATGTCTCTGGGTAGAAGTCCCATTTGCAAGCTGACCAGAACCAGCTGTCTCTCTGTGAGCATTGACAAGCTCCCGAAATTCTTTGCTAGAGACCAGTAATTGGTGATAAGGGGCAGCTTGTAGAATTGTTCCTTCTGATATAAACTGTAGAGAAAAACAAAATTGTTCATAAACAACTTTTACACAACATGTCTAAGTTTGTAATTATGATTAAAAAAAGGAATTCGATAAAAATGAATAGTTGCCACTAAGCTATATTGACTGTGAAAAACCCAATTACATCATCTGAAAGCAATACTTTTGTTTGAACTAAGGTAATGAAACGATGAAGATACTTCTGTAGATATATATAACCAAAAGAGATAAGGAGACTAATCATAGTAGAAATCTCTACTTCAAATATTGTTGCTCATTATAATTATCAGTTACACATAGAAGAAAAAACCGAAAAGGAAAAAACTAAAGCCTTCGGAAGAAAGAAATTACCAAAATGGAATCAAATGCAGGCAGAAAGTCAACTTGATGAGTCACTAGTAGAACTGTCTTCCCTGCAAGACCTTCCAATATGTATTCCTGCACAATTCAGAATCACTTTCATTAAACAATGATGCTGAAGATAAAAAATCAATATTTGAAGAAAGGAAGAAACCATTACATTAAACAAATTTGTGGCGGTTTGTGCATCAACAGCACTAAATGGATCATCCAAGAGATATACATCAGCATTCTGATAAAGAGCACGAGCAAGTTGAACTCGTTGCTTCTGACCCCCACTCAAGTTAACTCCTCTCTCTCCTATTTCTGTGAGCTCACCATGGGGAAACAACTCAAGGTCCTTCACCAATGAAGACCTATGAAGTGTCTCTTGATACCTTTGAACATCCAAAGCTGATCCAAACAAAATGTTTTCCTGTATTGTTCCTGTTGGTATCCATGCTGTTTGAGAAACATACGCAAGCTTCCCATAAACCGCAATCTGTAAATTACAAAGAGAATTTGACACCAATTAATTAACAATACGGATGAAGTGAAAGTCTGAAAGACAAAACAACTACATCCAGAAATTAATAAGTTCATTCCAGTTATAACCAAATAAAGTATCACAAGTTTTAGCAGTGTTTTTAAAAGATTTAAAAGCTTACATTTCCCTTGGTATTAGGAACTTCTCCAAGAATTGCTGCCAGTAGAGTTGATTTTCCTGAGCCAACTTCTCCACAAATAGCAATCTTTTGCCCAGGTCTAACCTCTAAATTTATGTTTCTCAGTGTTGGCTTAGATACATTACATTCCCATGAAAAGTCTGCGGATTTGATTAAAGTTGAACCCTTGAGCTTCTCATTGCAGCACCTCTTCCTGACACTTTCTCTCTGCAGCTCTGGAGCTTCAAGGAATTTTACAATCCGTGAAAATGCAACTTTGGCTTGAATGACCACTCCAATTACATCTGGGATTATTGAAATCGGATCTTGCACAAGGCGCAGAGTTGCCACAAAAGTGAAAAGGTTATTTGCATGTAAAGGAATTTTTAAGAAGTAACATGCCACGAATGTTGCCACATAGACCAAAATAGGCGAAAACCAAAAGAGAATGATGTTGTATGCTTTCTGAAATAGCACTGAAGATAACCATTTGAGTTCCACATTTCTTAAGCTTTCTATAGAATTTTTAAAATGGATTTCCCACGCATATAACTTCAACACTTTCATATTTACTAAAGCCTCAGAACAAGCCTTCAATCTCTCATCTTCTGCCACCAAAAGTTCGGTCAAAAACTTATGTTGTAACTTTGCTATGGGAGTATTGCAAAGCACTGTGAGAACTATCACCACCAATGCGGCAATTGTTGCAAGCCCAACTGCATTATAAAGAATTACTAATACAGTACATAGTTGGACAATTATTGTCCATGTTTGGTGAAACCAAAATGGAAATTCTCCAATCTTGTAAGCATCTACAGTCACATAATTCATTACCTCACCACCAGAGTGAATCAATCTAGCAGCGTTGGATAATCTCAGCTGTTTTTGGCAAATGGCTGCAGTAAGTTGTGACCTAAGTTTCATACCAACAAGTCTGCTACGGAAATACCATTGCCTTTGTGATATGGATTCTATAATCTTTATAAATAAAAATGATATGGCTAATGCATAACCTTCGTATTTGAAACTTCCATTACCCTCATACACCAATATAAAGGCATTCAGTAGTAGAGGACTAGCAGACAGAGTGAGTACCTTGAGCAATGCAAAAAGTCCTGATATCAAAATCTCTCTTTGATGGCACAAAATTATCGCCCACAAATATGATTTTTCTGACAATGGTTCCTTTTTCTTCTGCCTGCTCAAGTGATCTACAAATGAAGAATAGCACCTTTCTGCTCGATCTGACTCCGACAACTTTGGGACATCCTCATCTAGCAAGGTTTTCTTTTGGCCCTTTTTTATCAATGGACTCAACCACCAAAATGTAATCTTACTAAAGAATCCAGCTTTGGCAAATGGAGTTACCTGACTAATAGGATCAACTTCGTTTAACTGGCCGCTTAAAGGGGTATAAAGGCATTCTTCATTTTCTCTACCATTGTCTTTATATTTACTTACTTTATATGTGCATAAGAGTAGAAAAATTGCCCCAGAAAAGGATAAAATATCTAATGGTGCCTTGAATTGGTCAATTCTCCGCTACTGACTGTATAATACATGGACAAAGCACACAGAAAACTAGTTGAAACAAAGAATGTCAGAAGAGTGAACAGCCACAACCATGACCTCGGAAGCTGGTTTAGACTGAAGACTTACACATACAGCTTATTAACAACCATCTGAATCCTTGAAAGAGCTCTGCCAACCACCAACTTAAGAGGAAAAACGAATGTGTGTTCTTCCTTAACTTCCTCCTCTATAACCCAAATGCCTAAGCACAAATACAACAACCCCACAGAACCATTGAGTTATGGCTGAAACTAGCTGCAAGTTTGAATATCTTTCCACCTGAAACTGACCACGAAATGGTTTGAAAAAAGACTTCTGCATCAAAATGAATGCTAGCATGATCAGTAGTAAAACATCAAAGCAGATGATCAAGAATTGGTCGGTGCACGAAGAAGGATCTTTCAAAATCTTGAAATCGTAACAGAAAGGTGGTTTTCCTCCATTTCCAGGACAATCAGATTCTCCACAAAACGTGCTCCAAAAATCATCCATCATAAATTGTATGTTCTCTTTGCCGCTTAAATTCTGAAAAAAAAAAAAATAAAAAATAAACAAGAAAATTATGTTTTTATCATGAAAAACAGTGTCCTAAAACTATATTGAAAAAAAAATGGTGAAACAAAATATGGTCACGATTAGTAGAATAATATGAAATCTTGAGTTAAAGTTCATACTCAAGAAAATGGAAATGGCAATATACAGAAAAAAATTCGATTACATGATAAATGTTAATTCTTCTAAAGGTTTAAGTTGTTACAAGTAAATGACCACGTACCTAGCACCAGCAATTAGCGAAAATCATGAAGCTGATCAAGGAGATAAAAGATCAACCAGTAAAGTAACACTGAAAAAGAAAATCTGTGTGAGATATTTAAGCCTTCTGTATTTATCAGTCGAAGGTAGCTCATATACATCTGTACTGGAAAAACATTTGGTCCATACAGAAGACTAAGAATAAGACAGTAATTACAAGACAAACATGTATAAAGAATCCTGTGAGTAATAAAAAAACAAAATAACAAAAAACAAAGACCCTTTCATATTGTTGAATTCTACTCTTAAACTGTAGTTAGAATGTCATTGGATCACATTGGTGCAGGATTAAAACAAATCAAATACTCAGTATAATAAACATGCAATAAAACAGCGTAACCATTGAAAACAAGGAGAATGGAACAACAATATGTAACAATAGTGATTAAAAAAAAAGAAAAAAAAATAACTACAACAGTTTAAGTTTAACACGAAACCCAAATGAATGGATGATCAATTGGTAGAAAAAAGTAAAATGCCAGCTCACCTCTACTGTTCTTATTTTTTGCTGTTATGGACATTTCCAAGAAACTTCTCCAAAAACAACATAAAATAAAAAAAAATGAAATCAGATATTTTAAATATTAATATTAACTTACGCTTGAATTAAAAATAAAATTTTAGAGTTAATAAAAAAATTCTACAAACTAATTTATACATAAATTAATTTAAATTTTTCATATTTTTCTTTTAAAAACATTTACAGAGAAGTTAAAGTATTTATCGATTTTATTAATATTAAATTGTTATAAAATTATCGACTACTATAATGATCTTTGAGTTATTTATTTGAATTAAAATAAAATTTAACTTGAAAATTTTTATTTATGGATAGCATTGGAAGAAGTGATAGTAAAGTCAAACATTAGGAATCAAAATATTCTATTCTTTTCCATATTGATAAAGACAACATAGTGGGGCGCGAAAACTACATGCTCTAAACCATAACACTACTTAAGGAAAAATGAATATAATGATAGTGAAATTAAAAAAAAAAAAATCTCTGTTTTACGTTTATTTTTTGCATATATAATATGAAATTATTGTTAGGTATTTTAAAAAATAAACATAAATATTATACATGCATTCGTGTAGTGCACGTACGATCTAATGTCTATCTCTTCTACAGAAGAGTGAAAGAGACGCCGACGAGTACTTAATGGCACATGGACAAGTGAAATTTGTGTGTGATAGCTCTTGTAGCGTTTGTAGAATCATAATATAATTTTGTTTCTCGTGTCTCAGTAATGACATATAAACCAAGGTTCTAGGTTTGGTGACAGTAGGTTGTCTCATTTCCACGATTACCTATATAAAAAATATAAATGTTATAATACTTTATTATATGATAAGCAGAGAAATGAAAAAAAAAAATATATATATATATATATATATATATATATATATATAATATAATATAAAGTGAGTCCATCGTTATCTTATTCTAAAAAAGTGTTTACTTCAAAAAAGTATTTTTTTACTGAATTTGAAGAAAAAAATATTTACACATTATCTTTTATATTGATTCATAAATTAAAAGAATGGCTTGGATATTGAACTGGAATTTTAACTTTTAATGATTGTATTATTGTTTTGTCTTGAAATATACTATTATCATTATTAGGTTAAGAGAGAAGGGTTTATAAATTATAATAATCTTAAATCTTAATTGATCTAGGATTTTGTGACTATGGAACATGAATAAAGTTTATGAAATTTAAAAGAATAGTTCTTCAAAAAAACTATCTACATAAGATTATTAAAAGCATATTTTACTTTTTAAAGTAATTAAACTTAGCAAAAAGAGTCATCCCGATAACAAAATGACTAGTTATATTGAAATTTTCAGATTAAGAAAATTGTAAAAAAAAGTATATGTTTTTTCCTTGTAATGGAATTTTTTGTTTTATGACTGGTTCTAAAAGTGTTCACAGATTAGAAATAAATGAAACGCAAATGATCATTAAAATAATGTGGGACAGACTAAAACATAATTTGTTTATATTATAAATGGGAGAAGTTGTTAATATAATCTTACCAAACTGAAGGAATAAAACTTATATTTATGTATATATTAATTTTATTTTGAGAAAAAAAATTATCATCTCAAAAGAAAAATTATTATATTCTCTTATTTTATTAAAAAAAATCATTATATTCTCTTATTTTATTAAAAAAAAATCATCACATTTCATTATCTTAAATGAGATTTTTCATATTTTTCCATTAAAGTGAATCATCGCTTAGTCAAGCATGTTCAACAGAGACAAGTAACGTGGACAGGCACGATATTTCCGCTTAAGGATGAAGCACAAAAAACGACAAAAGAGGAGAAAAAAAGCGCAGAATAATGACAAATAAAAGAAGAAATATTCCCTGATATGAATGAGAAAGTGAGAAAAGTGGAACTCGAAAGCACGTGTTGGTTACACACTACTTTAACCTAAGCTTAAGCTGATTTTATTGGAGTAATAAAATTAGAAGCTGTAATTGTCATGTGTTAGAAAATGCTGACTATGGCGTCATTTATTTTCCTTCTGTTTTCTTGTCGTTCAAAATGGTGCGGTGTTGTTTTGTGGCAGAGATTATTGAAAACTATAGTTTTTGTAGAAAATTACTATCTAGAGTTGGAAAAGGGACGGTTCTTGCATGATACACGGAAAGTGTGAAAAAAGGAATATATGTCGCTCGCTAGCTTTTAGGGTTTAGTGGTCTCCCCCATTAACATATAAGATCCATTTTCTACCACAATCTCAATATCTAGACTCATTCATATTTCAAAATTACGAGAAAAATTATGATAAAGTAAATATATGTTATCTATTTTCTAATAATTAATGAACAAATACGTATAAATGAATAGATTTTTAAAGCAGATAAAGATTATTCTTCTTCTTACGTAGTATTAGAAAGACGAATCTTTAGAAAACTTTGTTAGTTATTATTAGACTTAAGAAAATGATGATTTTAAATGAAATACTATTTTGTTTTTAATAAATGGAGAATCAATTTGTAATATTGTTAAAAGGGTTTTCAAGTTAGACTTTTTATGAAAACCTGGATAAGACACCAATAATTATTGCGTTTGAAGTAATTGATTGAAATTTGAAAGATATTATTATGTCAAATGAACATAGTAATGAAATACTATATTGTGGTAAATTGTTTTGTTTAGAAGATTATTTTAGGTAAATCCATTAGAAAAGGTTGAAATTAAATTGCAAAGTTCTTAAATAATATGAAATTAAATATTACAAAAACAAATGATAATATAAGAGATATAAAAAATTTGCTAACTGGGTATTAAAGACCGACGATGATGGAGATAAAAATTTGAATAAAAATATGAATATCATTAATTAATTTTGTTTGTTCTAATATTTTTAATTGAAAAAATAACAACTTTTTACTTTCATTAGTTAATTTTGTTTATCTTTTAACTTTTTATATAACATAAAGCATCTGGTTCTTTATGATGGATAAATACTTTATCCAATTATTAATCGATAGAAGAGTTTTTAAATGAATTCAAGTGTAAAGTGTAAGCGATTACAAATCATTATCTTTAAGTTGAAAGTTACATCCTTTTTATACGTTTGGGAAATATTAATCAAGATAAAACTCTTTATGATAAAACTTAGTGAATTATTTAAAAAAATATATTATTTCAACTACTGCAAATTATTGAAAAAATATTTTATAACAAAGTATTCATGTAAGATATAATGTTGTTATAATATTAATATATTTAATTCATTCACTTTTTATCATATTACATTCTTTTATTTCATCTTTAAAAATCAAATATAATTTTGAAGAAATGGTGATTCAAAAATGGTATGCAGGATTAAAAGTCAGTATATCTCACAAGCATCTATTCAGCGACAAATATTATGATCATACTATATCATCTTTAATATTTTCTCAATATTAATTATTATGCTGAAATAATAAGCATGTCTCCACCAGAAGTTTTATTGCAATGGTCAAAATATCACCGTAAAACAAGTAAAAAAAATGATTGGAAAAAAACAAAATCTTTGATAAAGATTTTTTCAGGCTAGCCTTGAAACACGGTGTGATATTTCCAAGTGGGTTTTTTTCTTAGAATAACATTACATACTTTGCAACAAACAAAACCTAAGAAAAAAAGAACTATCCTCAATCTAAAAAGAAAACAAAATTAGTTATTATAATAAGTTTTACTGACAAAAATATATATTTAAAATAATAAATAAAAAATTGAAGATATCTCATGACACTATATTACTAATCTACCTCAAGTAAAATTTTCTTCCAAATATAAAATGGTATTTTATATCTGATTATTTTAGTTGTTTTATATTAGATATAAGTCCAATATTAATATAATTTACATCGATCAAGTGGATATTAATTTACGACATCAATTTACATCCGATAAAACACAAAATAAATATAAAAGAGTTTCAAAAATTAAAAAAAAAAACATAGAACAAGATTTACAACCTCAATAATTATGGTTTGGTTCAACGTAGATTTCTATGCTTTGTGAAACACTTTTCTTTAAAAAAAATAAAATTACAAGAGTAGGGTGATGAATACTAACCAGTTTGTTGGTAAATATTGGATGTTTGAGCAGTAACATAAACCTTCTCTTCAAGAATGATGTTTGTATAGGTGATAATTACATAACAATTTAT